AGAGGGATTGGTTAGTTTTCCCTGCTCAGGCATTGGTTAGTTTAGTTGGTCAGGGGTAGAGATGGCTCTAATTTCAGGGTCAAACTGTGTTTCTTTCACTGGTCCTTTTGTCTCTAATCTTAGGACCAGGGCATATTTCTTTCACTGGCTCTGATTCTAGGGACAAAGTGTGTTTCCTTGACACTGGTTTCAGAGTCAGGATATGTTTCTTTAGTCCTGGATTCAGGGATAAAGATGTTTCTTTCCCTGCCTCTGGGTTCGGAGTCAGAGTGCTCAGTGATTGGCTGGTTTCCTGCTCCAGGTGGCCCTTTAACCTACCTTGTGTCCTCTGGAGCAGTACCCCCTCTTGCTGCAGGTCTTCACATGCCTTTTCATGTGGCTTCTGGGTGATGGGGCACCTGCCAAGACATGAAAATTATCCGGGTGCAAGCCACTGTTACAGATCTTTGCGGCCAAATGCACTCAATCTGCACAAAGGCAGAGTGGAACACTATAAAAAAAAAAAGGCTCACCATCCAGGAAAGGCCTGCTCTGCACTGAGACAAAGGGAAGGGGCCCTCTGCAAGGCATCATCCAGCTTCCAATCTGTGAAAGGAAATAGCCTCAAGAGTTTTCCTCCTAGAAAACAACAAACAAAACCGCTACTAATGAAGTTCAGGGAGGCTGACTCCATCCCAAGCTGGCAGCCAGCGCTGGCAGTGACAGCCACATGGTGCTTCAGAGCCATGGTTCTTAACCTGTGGGTCGTGACCCCTTTGGGATTGAATGGCCCTTTCAGAGTGGTCGCCTAAGACCTTGGGAAAACCCATTACTATCCGTAACAGTAGTAAATTTCCAGTTACAGAGTAGCAATAAGTAATTTTATGGCTGGGGTCACCACAGCATGAGGAAGTATAAGAAAGGGTCACAGCCCAGGAACATTGAGAACCACTGCTCATGAGGCATGAAGGATGTACGAAGGAAAGGACTGTGAAAAGCTCCTCTGCAGTTTTAGGGAGCCACTGAAGCTAGGCTTCATGTGTGCCACGGGAATCCCCACAAGAAGACCCTAAGAGGACAAGAGGTTATGAAAGACTGTTTTATGAAACTATGAAGGTAGGGCCTGAGTTGCAGTGGAGACCCCATTATTTGAAGATGTCAGACCCCTAAGACATCTGCCAAGGAGAGTTACATACAAGGAATGGAACTAGCCTAAAAAAGACATGTATGTTATAGGCAGCAAGGCTGGAGGGACAGAGCCATTTAAGCCTTTTGTTATTGGAATCAGAGCTATGGGATTTGGTGTGTTTGCTTTGCTGGGTTTTGATGTTATTTTGGCCACGTATTTCCTCACCCTGGCCCCATTTCTTCCTTCCGAATGGTAATGCATATTCTGTGCCATGTTGTGTCTGATGTATGTAATTTGCCTTTTGATTTAACAGAGGATTACATCTAAGAGGTTATTTTTTAAGACCCAAAAGGGACTTGGGACTTGGGATCTCTAAATAATGTTGAAAGACTCAGAAAGACTAGAGACTTTTGAAGTTATTGTAAATTCATTTTATATTGTGATACAACCATAAACCTATAGGAGTCAGAAGTGAAATGTGGTTTGAATGAGGCATGCCCCTCATAAGCTCACTTGGTCCCAGTTGGTGGCACTATTGAAGAGGTTTAGTGAGGAAGTATGTCATTGGTGTAGGACAAGGGAGCTTTGAGAATATATATCAGTCTCTACTTTCAGTTTGCTTCATCAGTTTTATGCTTGCGTTTGAAGATGTGGGCCCTCAACTTTCTGCTCCTTCCTCCACACCTTCCCGCCATGACAGACTCTTGCTCCTCTGAAACTGTGAGCCCAAATAAACTCTTCCTTGGCTAAGTTGTCTTGGTGATGGTGTTTTATCACAGCAACACAACAATAACTATCACACCCTCTCCCTCTCTCTTCCGCTGAGCCCACCATGAGATAGTCTTCCTTGCTCTACCACAATCCCCCTGCCCTAATTTTCTGCCTCTTACTGGCTCAGAAATAATGGATCCAAGGAATCATGGACTGAAAGCATTAGTCAAAATAATTCTAGCACACTTGTAAAAATGTGAGCTCCAGAGCCTGGTTGGAATATAACCCGTTACAGAGGGATTCTGGCTTTGTTTTCTTATTGTTGCTTTTGGATCCAGGATAAATTTGAATTCATGATGGAGGCAGTTCTAAAGGTCTTTCTTGGGTCCCTGACTTTCTTCTTGAAATCTTGTCAACAACAGGCCAGTGATCGCTCAGGAGCTACCGCTGGGATCCGTCTTTCAAAAGGCCAACGTCTCTAGAGACTTTTGCTACTGCCATAAACCTTGATTGCAGTTTCTCACTCAAGGAACACAAGGCCTAAGTACTTGATATTGGCATTGGCGTAGGCCTTCAGGAGAGGAAAGAGAGAACTGGGAGCAGCGTTTGTCACCCACTGGCTTTATGGTTGGCACTACCAATCTGGTTGGAGGGTGTTATCATCTTTCCTCTCCCAGCTTGGTACCCTTTTCAGAGTTGTGATTTATGTGCTTTGTGAGAAAGGGTGTTGGCTAAGATGCAGCAACAGGGTAACTACATCTTTACAGCAGATAATATGAGTGGAGCCGTACTTTCTTATCTCCTGCTGCCAAGCCTGCTTGATAAAAGGAATCCCTTGTGGGGTTTCCCAGACTCTGGTTTGCTGCAGCGAGTCACAAAAAGTGCATGACCTGCTTTGTATGTTTACTTGGTGAGTGCAGAGCCAGGGCTCTGTGCCTCCCAAACTCTTGCTTACACCACTAAGGAACAATGTGCGTTTGAGCAAACCGCTAAGAAAGGGTAACTGCCATCTGCAAAGGGATTCGCAATGTAAAGGACAGTTTCACACGCAGTTCTCACTCTTACAGCACGACAGACCCAATGCAAGTCCCCCACTTCACAGAGGCTCAGAAAAGTAAAGTGGTTTGCCCACGACAGTGTCTACATGTTCGAATACCTATGAGTGACAGGCAGTTCCATCCATCCTTTTAAATCCTTGATTAATTTGTTCATCTACTTACAATTGAGCAGTCACTTGTATGGTAGTTAGAATGAAAATGGCCCCCCACGGGCTCATAAAAGAATTAGGACATGTGGCGTTATTGGAGTATGTGTGGCCCTGTTGGAAACAGTGTGTGTGTCACGGTGGGGGAGGAGGCTTTAAGGTTTCAGAAGCTCAAATCAGGCCCAGTGGCTCACTCTTTCTTCCTGCTGCCTGTGGATCCAGATGTAGAACCCTCAGCTACTCTCCAGCACCATGTCTCTCTGCATGCTGCCATGCTTTCTGCCATGATAATAGTGGACTAAACCTCTGAATCTTAAGCCAATTCCAATTAAATGCTTTCCTTTAGAAAAGTTGCTATGGTCATGTTGTCTCTTCAGGGCAATAGAAAATCTAAGACAACTGTCTGAAAAGTATATTGTATACAGAGGCCTCCTTGAGCCATATTAGCAGGAAGCTTTGTTTGCCATTGCTTTCTAGGAGAAACTTTCTGGGCCATTTCCTTTCACTGTCTGGAAGCTTAACTGAGTGGGGTGTCCCTGAGGGTGCCCTTCCCTTTGTTGTCATGCAGATCAGACCTCTTCTTGATGGTTACTAACCCCCTTGACAATTACAACTTCTCAGAGCTGAAGAGACGGTTCCACAGTTCTGAGCACTGACTGTTCTTCTAGAGGACCCATGTTCAATTCCTAGCACCCACATGGCAGGCCACAACTATCTATAACTCAAGTTCCAGGGGATCTGACACCCTGGAACATAGACATACATGCAGACACACATGCAGGCAAAACATCAATCAATATGCATTAAATAAAAATAAACGTTAAGTTGGGAGCATAGACCCCAGCCCCTTGCATCTATCCCAGCCTCCAGGCCTGAGAGTTTATATTAGTCTGGACTCCTTATCCCAGCAGGCCAGGTTCTGACCCCTTTCTGGAGAGGAGGTCAGGACCACTCCCAAGAATATTTAAGTGAACTCCTAAAAGAGGAACGCATGGTCTCCTTTTCTTTCTTCCAGTGGTCAGCAGTCGCTTTCGCAGCGGACGGGTTTCCCCTGAGGTCACCCGAGAGTGCAGAACTCCCATTAAACCTGGATATCTCTTGATTTGGCTTGTTTTGTTTTGGCTTGATTGGGATTTTGCATCGGTGGAGAGCTCACATTAGGAAAATATTCCTAACAATAAACAAATCATTAAAAAAAATACAACTTCTTAGCCGGGCAGTAGTGGCACGCACCTTTAATCTCAACCCTCAGGAGGCAGAGACATATGGATCTCTATGAGTTCAAGGTCAGCCTGGTCTACAGAGCGAGTTCCAGGACAGGCTCCAAAGCTACAGAGAAACCCTATCTCAAAAAACAAAACAAAACAAAAAATACAACTTTTCTTTCTGCATGTGACTTTACTATAACATTAAGTTTTTAGAGTTCTTTTTTTTTCTCCCTAACCCAGACACTTTGTATTTCTTTCTGTCCTACTTGCTATTTTTCACTGTAGACATGCATAAGTCTTATCAGTAACAACCATCCTCAATGTTATGCTGTCTTGAAATTTCCTCTGCCAAAGAAATTAATATACTACTTTTTAATTCATCCTCAGGAACGTTCTCAGGACATGGACACAAAGCAGCTACAGTCTTTGCTAAAATATGTCATTAATTTTGTCATTAATGCCCAATAGTCCAGTTGCTAAACTTGGTTCCCCCTGAAGCCCCTTCAGCTGGGCCTCCACCATCTGCATTTCTCTCAGACTGCTGTCTTCCAGCCTCCTACCATAATGGCCCACAAAGCTTTGTTTATAGCATCCAACTACTTCTCTAGTCAAAAGTTTAAAAGTCTTCTACATTCCTCCAAAATCAATAGTTAAGTTAACACCCCACTCCTGGTACCAACTTCTGAATGTGTTGCTTTCTGTTGCTGTAATGAAACACACCATCACCAGGACAACTTACAGAAAAGTTTGTTTTGGCTTACCGTTCCAGAGGAATGAGAGGCAGTCATGGCGAGGAAGCCTAACAGCAAGCAACACGCATAAGGTCCAGAGCATGAAGCTGAGAGCTCACGTCTTCCAAAGGAGACACAGAGAAGAGCTAACTACAAGTGGTACAAGGTTTTTAATTTAAAAACATAACCCAAGTGCTAAGCTTCTTCTCACAGGTCTATACCACCTAAATGTCCCCAAAGAGTGTCACCAACTAGGAATCAAGCATGCCGATTAGTTGTATTGTCACCTTGATATAAGCTCTAGTTATCTGGGAAGAAAAAGACCTCAACTGAGGGATTGCTTCTTGCTCATTTAGCCTGTGGGATATTTTCCTGATTAATGTTTGATAAGGAAGAGGTCAGCCCACTAGGAGCAGCACCACCCCGGGTGGTCTTGGATGATATAAGAATGTCAGCTGAGCAAGTCATGGGAGTAAAGTCAGTAAGTGTTTCCTATTGGTCTCTGCTTTAGTTATTCCAGGATCCTGTCCATCTGGGATTTCTGCCTTGGCTTCCCTCAGTGACTGACTGTTTAAAGATATATAAACCAAATCAATCTTTTTTTCAAGTTGCTCTTGGCTGTGGTCCTTAGCAGAACAATAGAAAGTAAACTATGGGGCTGGAGAGATGGCTCAGAGGTTAAGAGCATTGCCTGCTCTTCCAAAGGTCCTGAGTTCAATTCCCAGCAACCACATGGTGGCTCACAACCATCTGTAATGGGGTCTGGTGCCCTCTTCTGGCCAGCAGGTAAACACACAGACAGAATATTGTATGCATAATAAATAAATAAATAAATATTTTAAAAAAAGAAAGTAAACTATGACACCAAGTGTTTAAACGCTGGAACCTCTTGGGTACATTTCTCATTTAAACCATCACAATTCTTAACGAGAAATACTGTATCAATATTCATCACTGCACTATTTCCAGCAGCATAAACCCACCACCGTCCTAGATATCCTGGGATGGAAGAATAATTTTCCCAACACTGACATCCTCTGGGCTATTCCTCCAGAGAAGGAGTGGGCCCTCTGTGTGGCTGCCTAGGAAATAATATAGCCTTGTGCTTAACACAGCATTAAGAGAAGTTAGAGTGCAACTTTCCTGGTGCTGAGCGCTGACACAGGAAACTCTGCCACTAGATGCCACCTCCCAGCTCTAAACTACAGGCTTGGATCTCAGCCGACTAATCACACAATGAGAGGGGCTGGCCATACTCCCAACCTGGAAACTGATCTGACAAGAGAGTGTGAGAGATTAGGAGATACCACACATCAACACTGGGCTATCCAGCCCCCTCCAATTAAAAGGACAGGCTGCTACCTCCTCCATTTAGCTTAAATGTTCTTGCCACATGTGGAGGAGGGAGTAGGATATTTAGTGTCACCTCGGATGAACAATGAGAGGCTAATCCTAACTTGTGGGTTTTCTAACAAATTTCACGCCAGCAGGCTGGATTCCCCCACTCTCTCTCGTTTACACCTGACTAGTGCAATTGGGTGTGCATCTGGACAGACAGACATCATATCTCTCCAGAAGGTAATCAGCACATCAAAGGTTACCATTAAAAACAGGACAAATGGCATCTGTCAGGACAGCTCATCACTAATTGTTCCTGGGAACCACAAGACAGCATCAGCGAGCTCAGCAAGCACTCTACCAGTGAGCTACAGCCCTGGCCTAGGGTAGCACATTTGAACTTTATAGGGCTCCTGAAGATTAAGCAAATGTGACCTCCAAATGAAGACGGATTTGAACAAAGACTACGCAGCTCGCCTGAGAGTTGCCTGCACAGACTTTCTTAAATTTCTCTATTCCAAGGGAAAGTTCGCGTCCTAGATCCACTCCATTCCTCTTCCAGGCAGGCTGGAGAAATGGCAATCACCAAATCTGCAGGCGAGAGTCAGCATCAGAAACAGGTTGGCCATGTAAAATGAGATCTTAAAATTATCAGCCCATTGTCGACTTAAAAAAAAATGAAGAAGAACTCTTTCAAAAGATTTGCTTACTCATAGCCAGGCATAGTGGCACCTGCTGGTAATCCCAACACTTAGGTGACAGAGACAGGTGGATCTCTGGGAATTTGAAGCCAGGCTGGTCTACATAATGAGTTCTAGGACATCTAGAGCTACATAGTGAGACATTGTTTCAAAAATGAGCAAACAAACAAAAAGATTTTATTTATTTTTATTTCATGTGTGTGGGTGTCTTAGGGTTTCTATTGCTGTAGAGAGGCACCATCACCATGGCCACCCTTATAAAAGGTGGTTAGTGGTCGAAAGCATGGTGGCATGCAGGCCACTCTAGACAAGGGCTCCATCACTGCTAGTTTTCCTTCATTTCTCCATTTAAAATTGTTTTATTTGCAAGTAAATTGTGTGTGTGCATATATGGTGTGTATTGTTTGGCATGTGTGCATATATGGTGTGTATTGTTTGGCATGTGTGCATATATGGTGTGTATTGTTTGGTATGTGTGCATATATGGTGTGTATTGTTTGGTATGTGTGCATATATGTGTGTATTGTTTGGTATGTGTGTATATGGTGTGTATTGTTTGGTATGGTTATGTGTACATGTGGGGTAAATGAATGTTCATGGGTGAATGCTTGCCTGTCGAGACCACAGGTTGACACTGGGTGGCTTTCTTCAATTATTCTCCATCTTTTTTTTTTTTTTAACTTTTTGAGACAGGGTCTCTCTCGAAACCTGAGGTTCTTCTCTTCAGCAGAACTGGACAGCCCAAGATCTTCAGGGTTGCACCCCTCTCCACCGCTCACCCCCAGCGCTGTAGTCACAGGTAGGTATCACCCCCGCACCCACTGCTTTTGGTGTGCATTCTAGGGTTGAGAGCACAGGTCTTCGTACTTGCGCAGTAGGCACCTCACCAGCTAAGCTGTCTCCCCACGCGTGAGCTCCAAGTGAGCATAACTCAGAGCTACGTGGGCATCAGTGTTTATCCCAGCACCAATCACAGTGGCTGGGACCAACCTAAGTGTCCAAGAACAGAGGGCTGGATAAAGAAAATGGGCTGGATTCACAGTGGAGAATTGTTCCGTCACAAAGAATAAAGTTATGTCATGAATGCAACCAGGGATTACTCATAGGAAGCAAACTGAGTCAATCAGTCTTAGAAGCCCAAATATCTTTCTTTCACATGTAGTTTTCAATGAAATATTATGTAAATACATAAAACCATGAAAGTACCAGTGAAATGAAAGTAGAATAAAAACTGTCTAAGGGACCAAAAGAGACTAAGGGCAGAGGTAACAAAGGGAAGGCAGGGGTGGGCGTGGGCAGAATATGTCCAATTTATAGGCTTGTATGAAAGCGTCCTTATGCAAAACAGTACCATGAACCATGGTACGCAGTGAAAAAGATTTTAAAGAAATAATTGTTCCTCTCTCTGTTTTGCTCTTCTTTTAAAAGCACATCTTTAATTATTTATATGCATAATCTTGAACAGTTTTCCATTCCTCACTCACTATCATAAAACAAGAAAAACATGTAATCACTTTTATGAAGGGCTGTGCGAGACGCTAAAGTACTAGGTTTGAATAGAGTAGTCTCTGTCCCCAACCTGGCCCAGACACAATAAAAACTTATGAGGTGTGATTTAAATTCCAGGAGATAATGTAGGGAAGAAATAGAGGTTTGTCTCTGTTTACTCGGAACCCATTGCTTGTCCAGCCCTTGCCACAGCCTGGTCATCCAGTCATGGCTAGCTCCGTCACAAAGTGCATAGTTAAGTGGGGGGGGGGGAGCAATGTGGTATGGAGGACGGAAACTGCAGGGATGAGAAGCCAAGCAGTAGAAGGAACACAATTCATGGTGGCAGACATCAGGAAGAGGAGTGGAGAGCAAGGAAGAACCACAATGCGGCTGGAAGCTAGAAAGTAACCGTGGTATCAACAGCAGTAGGACAGGCCTGCAGAATCTCGAACTTCAAGTGGACTTCTGGATGTTCATGTGTCCACTGTGGAGGACATAGGGAGCCTAAACTAATCAGAGAGGTCTGGACAAGACATTTGCACTCCACAAAGATCTGTTTATCTAGAAATAACTTTTCCTCTTTTCTGTTTTTTTTTTCCTTGTTATTTCCCAATCCATGTTTCGAAGATTACTCTTGTTTCAAGGTTCACCTTTACAGTTTAGTTTTAAAATATTTATCTACCTATATTTTGTAGACTATCTGCAGAGACTCAACATTATCCATATTCAAAATTGTTGCAAATTGAACCTTGAAACAGAATCCAAATTACTCTTTAAAAATCTCTGCTAGAGGCAGAGGAGAGATAGCTCAACAGTCAAGACCACTGGTTGCTCTCCTAGAAGTCCTGAGTCAAGATCCCTGCACCTCCATAGTGGCACACAGCTGTCTGGAACTCCATCTTCTGAACTCTATGGGTACTCCATGCATGGGGCACACAGATGTGCACGGTCAAAACACTCACACACATAAAAACTTTAATTAAAATAAAATAATAAAAGAACAAAATTTCTGCTGAGTCCTCAAGGAACTTAAGCAAATCAACATGGCTTAGATCTTAATCATTTTAACATGAAATATTCAATGTGTGAAGCAGGTGATTCACAAAATGGCCAATGGTGCTTCCGTTTTAGCAAATAAAATTGTGATCGTAAGTATGAAAAATTATTGTTAAAGAGAATCCTTGAGATAAGAGAAACAATCGTCCTAAATTATTATTATCCTTGTGTGACCAAGGAGTATTCTGAAGGTATACAATTTGTGTCAAGGGAGTGATAGCAAATTGAGAGGGAGAGAGAAAGAGAGAGAGATTATTGGCCTCTTTTTCTTTGATTATTATTGTTCCATATATACAAACACATAAATATATGAACACAACCTGCTGAGACCATTTGGTGTTGCTTGTAGGTGTATGTTTTCAGGGCTGACCACACAACCGATCAGGGGGCTCATCCCTAGGGCAGACTCTCTCCCTTCTCAGCAGTCATGAATTACCTCTATCTCTTGAGCTAGGCGTGGGGATCAGTGAGGTATCTGTCTTCCATGCTAACATGTCTGTTGGTATTATCACTGTTCCAGTATTGTTTAGGCAGAATTATTGTTTAGATTTTGTGGGTGTAGCTTCCATGCCATTTCTAGAAAACACAATCTCAACAGACTTTGTAGCTCTAGGTCTTAGAACTTCTGTCCCCCTCTTACGCAGTGCCCCCAGGACCAGGGTGTGTTGTAGATAGAGCAAGTGAGTCTGGGCAACCCATAACCAGTTGTTTTCTGCATTTTGATCTCTTATAGCTCTCTGTAATGGTTTCTGTCTGCTTCAAAGAGACACTTCTTTGAAGAGGGGAGAGAGCTACACTTATCTGTGGGTATAATGATACATATTTAGAATGCCATTGGAAAGTGTACTGGTTTAGCAAAGTAGCAGTTATCAGCTTCTCCTCTAAGATCCATGACCTCACTAGCCATGTGTAGCCATGTGTAGTTGGCTATGTTTTCAGTACCAGGAATGATTTTCCTCCAGTTGAGTGGACCGAAATCCAATCTGACAGCGGTTGGTTACTGCCTAGCTGTAAATGCCACTATTACAAACTTAGGGGTATCTTTCCATGCTGGTCATTGTTGTGGTTTATGGGTGTCACCGCTCGGTAGGATGCTGGTTGCTTTCCTCCCTTGACAGCTCACACAACATCTTCCACATTGTGAAAGCCAATTCTCAGGGAAGAGACTCTCTCAGGTCAGATCCAGCTCAGTCCTTCTAATTTTTATGTCCAGTGTATGTGGTGTCTTCAACAGTAAGGATTTAAGTTCAACATCTGGGAGGCAACCAAGAGCAATAGCAATAGCTTATATTGTTCTAAGAGCAACAGTGATAGCCTATACTGTTTTGGGAGTCTCTTGGGCTCATCTGAACAACAACTAGAAAGGAGGTTTCTTATACTTGGAACTGAGGTTTTTATGAGATGGTTTATGTACCTTGAAGGAAGCATTATCACCTCAACTGGCATAGCTTCACTTAAACTACATATGTATGGATACACCTACATTTACATATATATTATATATAATTTTAGGTAAATATAAAATGATTCCTCGTGGATTTTACAAACATCCGTAGTGTCATTTGTTCCCTTCCCCCACCCTCTCCTCTGCAGTGACCGCACTTGCCAATTCTCAGTTAAAAACTCTCCCTTGGTTTTCCCCATTTCTCCCTTCACATCACCTCTACCCTTCTGTTCCTTCCCTAGTGCCCCTTCAACGGCAACCTTCTATGTTCCTGGCTTCTTTGGTTACTTCAAGCTGTACACTCACATCCGAAGATCTGGAGCTAGGAATCACGAACAGAGAGAACATGCATTTGTCTTTCTGGGTCTGGATTATCTCCCTCAGTATAGTATTTTCTCGTTCCACCCATTTACCTGCAAATTTTATGGTTTTGCTTTTCATAGCTGAGTAGTATCCCATTGTGCATATTCCTGTTAATCTGCTGAAGGACACTTAGCTAGCTAGCTATTGTGAATATAGAAGCAATACACATCACTAAGACCTATTTTTGATGTAGGATGTCAAGTCCTTTGGAGGTGGCGTAGCTGGATCATATGGTAGGTCTATTTTTGACATTTTGAGAGTTTTGCTCACTGATTTCCAGAATGGCTGCTCCAGCACTCCCCACCCCCACCCCCAGCAGTGAGTGACAGTTCTCTTTCCCCACATCCTTGCCACTGTTTGTTATCATGGTTGCTTTGACCGACACCTCCTGAGTTGCTAGGGATGAATGGTTTTGAGTTATTTCTTAGTCATTTTTATTTCTTTTTTGGAGAACTTCCTGTTCGGATCCATAGCTCATTTTTTAAATTAGATCATTGTTTTATTCTTTTTTTTTTGAGTTCTCTATATATTGTGGCTGCTAATCTTCTGTCAGATGTATATCTGGCAAAGATTCTCTACCACCCTGATTGTTTCCTTAGTTGTACAGAAGCTCTTTAGTTTTATGAGGCCCTATTTATCAATTTTTAAAAATAGGATGTGAACAGAAACTTCAGAAAAAGTACATTAATGTCCAAGAAAAAAAAGCCCAAGATCTCTGGCTGTTAGAGAAATGCAAATTAAAACTACAATAATATACTACTGGAAACTCATTCATATGGGTAGAGATAAATAACTGATACTCACCCAACGTTAGCAAAAATATAAAGGAGACACAACTTAGATCCGTGCTGGTAAGAATGGAAAATTTGGCAACCTAGCAGTTTCTTAAGTTTCTTAAAGAGTTAAGCACACATCTGTCGTATGACTCAGTAATACCAATTCTAGTGTTTATACAAAATAAAGGAAAACACTCGCCCACAAAAAGCCTTGTGTAAGGAAGCTTATAGCAGCTTTATTCATAATAGCCCCAAACTGGAAACAACCCAGGTGCCCATCAATAGAGCAGAAAAATAAACTGCGATGTCCTCAGCCAGTGGAATGCAATGAAATAATAAAGAGAAGCAAACTGCTTGTGCAAGCAGAAACATGAATGAACCCCCAAAGTCTACACTCAGGGAAGAAAGTCAGTTGCAAGAGTGTAGACTCTGTGGTTCTGTGGATATGAAGTTCTGCAGGGAAGAAAAAAATGTGATTAAAATCAGAACAATGATTGCTTCTAGAAGAGACCAAGGCTGAGGAACTTTTCTGGTTGATGAAAAATATTTAAAATAATGTGTGTTATCTTAGTTAAGGGAGCCACCTTAGAGTTGGCAAGAGACTTGAACCTAGAGTGGCTCCCAGGAGCCCAAGGCGATGTCCCCAGTTAGTCCCTTGGGAAGCGGAGGATAGGGAACCTGAAATGACACTATCCCATAGCAATACTGACGAATATCTTTCATATCACCATAGAACCTTCATCTGGTGATGGATGGAGATAGAGACAGAGACCCACACTGGAGCACTGGACTGAGCTCCCAAGGTCCCAATGAGGAGCAGATGGAGGGAGAACATGAGCAAGGATGTCAGGACCACGGGGGGTGCACCCACCCACTGAGACAGTGGGGGCTGATCTCTTGGGAGCTCACCAAAGCCAGCTGGACTGTGACTGAAAAAGCATGGGATAAAACCGGACTCTCTGATCATGGCGAACAATGAGGACAGATGAGAAGCCAAGGTCAATGGCAAGGGGTTCTGATCCTACTTCATGTTCCGGTTTGGTGGGAGCCTAGCCAATTTGGATGTTCGCCTTCCTAGACATGGACGGAGCGGGAGGACCTTGGACTTTCCACAGGGCAGGGAACCTTGACTGCTCTTTGGATTAGAGAGGGAGGGGGAGAGGAGTGGCAGGAGGGGGAGAAGAATGGGGGGAGGGGGAGGGAAATGGGAGGCTGGGAGGAGGCGGAAACTTTTTTTTTCTTATTCTCAATAAAAAAAAAAAGAAAAAAATGTGTGTTAATAGTGGTCTTATTGGCACAATAGGGAAAACAGACACCAAAGTCATGTTCTTGCACGCTGGGCCACTCCGAACAGCTTAGTGAGCACGTGGGATCTACCGTGTGGCTAAAAAAGGATGCTACAAATACTATTCTGTTGCCCTCAGTTAAAAATTTAGTTTTAAAGAAAAGTCCAAATGCTGTCATTGCCTGGAAATGTGTAATGGTTCTGTTTATCGTGTATAGCTGCAGAGCTGATGGAGAATGCTCACGGACACTCTGACTTGGGTGAGCACTTACATCCTTAAAGTCACACACAAGCCAAAATGGAAACACGGCCGATATTCGCTTCTGTCTCTCTTTTCTCCTAGCAATCACATATTTCAGCACCTTTGGTCCTGTGGGAGGAAATGCTATCTAGTGTTCACAAACACCACCAACTGGAACGGTTTTCAGAACAAACTTTTCCTGCCATGGTGATTCTCCAGCGTGCCCTCCATGAACTAGGATTTCTGGAATGATGTCTTGTCCTAATCATTTCGCATTTGGTATGAGTAGTGCAAGGTCAGTGCCTTCAGAGAGGCAGGCCGGCCGACCAGGCATCGCCCATGGCCGAGGGTCCGAGGAAACGCTGAAGGAAAACCCCAGACTCAAATAGTATGTAAGAACAGAGAGGGTTTATTATACCACTTGCATGTGGGGTCGCTCACCTGTACAAAACGGCGACAACCCCGAGAGGAGCGTGCAGATTCCTTTTAAGCATAGCTAAGGGGAGCTTTAGGGACAGTGAGGTCATCTCAAACATAGTTGGTTAAACAAGCAGTGGCTACATTAATGTATTTTTAATTGGTTGAGGTTGAGTCTTCTCATGTTTGGACACATTGGCACAAGCTTGTGCAGAAGGTAGCTGCTGGGTTTGTCCTTGGGACGTTGTTAATTCTTTGGCATTAAATGTTAATTTGATTTTTAGTGTTTTAAGGAAACTACACTATTTTCCATGACTGTGCTATAATTTTATGCTCCCAACAATACTATTGTATTTCATAACTGTCCCCATTTCTCCACAATTTTGCTAGTGTTTCTTATCTTTCGTTTGTGATAACAGCCACCACGAGAGGTTTAAGGCACCCACTTGGAGAGGCATCTACATTTCCCATGATCAGTGACGCAGCCTGTTCACGCTGCCCTCAGCCACTTTCTGTCTTTTTTTTTTTTTTTTTTTTTGGAGAATGTCACACAGCAGTAGTGCCTGTGGTCTCTGGTCAGAGAGTCATTGGTGAAACTTCTCTTCCTCACAGTTTTTTGGGAAAAAGAGAGAATTTGCTATAGAATATGGAGTAAAGTGTTTCAGCATGACACTTTATACACCTCTGTCATACACTCTGGTCTCGCTGGTTCCCCCCCTTCACAGTCCCCTTTCCTCATCTAATCACTTTCTTTTCTTCCACCCAGTTACCCCCTTTCTGTTTTTCCCTTATATATTTCCCATTGTTTTTCCTTACTTCTCATGATCCCCCTTCTACTCATGACCCATACCCCCCCCCACACACACACACTTTTAAATTTAGGTCCCACCTACATGAGAATACATGAGTGAGTACGTGTCTTTCGGAGCCTGGCTTATCTCACTTACTATAATGGCTTCTAGTCATGTGCATTCTCCTATACATGCCATGATTTCTCTTTTCTTTATGGCTGCATAAAATTCCATGCAGCATAGGTATTGCTTCCTTTGGATCGTTCACTGTAGCCGGGCGTATAGACTGTCTCTATGTCCCGATCACGGCCAAAGCAAACACACGAAAGTAGGCTCTGCAAAATGCAGTGCTCGGTGTGTCTCATCGATTTATCAACTGAAGTTATTGCTGGTGAACAGTTTTTGACTGTGACTCTCTCTAAGAATCTAAAGTTAAGATATAGAAAAGTCACAGTTAGAGGCTGCGGCTGCTAAGCATGCATGGCTTAGTTGGGTCTTCCCATGTCAGAAGTGAAGCTTTTCTTTTGGTTTTGGTTTTGGCTCTAGCCAATTACTCATGATTTAAACAAGCTACTAAAAAGGTTTAAAGCCGTTGGTCTCAACCTGTGGGTCCCAAACCTCTCCTCTATCTCCAAAAATATTCACAATCCATAACAGTAGCAAATTACAGTTATGAAGTAGCAATGAAAAGAATGTTATGGTTGGAGGTCTCCACAACATGAGGAACATGTATTAAAGGGTCGCAACTCTACAAAAGCCAGAACCACTAATTCAAACCCTTCCTACTTAAAATAACACTTAAACACCTCATACCTACAACTGGCAGCCCACTGGATAGGAGACGTGTATGACACCAATGGAGAGCTGTAAGAATTCCTCTCCACCAGCCAGCCTGCTCTTTTAGGGCTGAGACAAAATGGAATCCTCTGAGTTCTTGGGTCATTTGCCTTCATGATTGGCATACCTGAGTAAACCCTGCCTTCGTCAGTGTAGCTCGGGAGTTACATCTGTCTCTCTCTGGCTGACTCTGACAAACATCTATCTAGTGCTTCCTTAATAACTCTAGAAACAAAGATGACAAAATTGATATGGCCAGAGCCGGGAATCTATATTACTTTCATAAGGTTTAAAAACAAGACAGTTCTTAGAACAAACAAAAACTGTCAATGGAAATAGGTTATCTTAGGATTTCTATTGCTGTGAAGAGACACCATGATCATGGCAACTCGTATAAAGGAAAAACATTTTATTGGGGCAGCTTATGTTTTCGGAGGCTTAGTCCATTATCATCATGGCATGACATGGTGGTGTGCGGGCAGACGTGATGCTGGAGAAGTAGCCAAGTAGTCCTATATCTTGACTTGCAGGCAATAGGAAGTGAACTGTCTCAGCGGATGTGATTTGAGCGCGGATGTGATTTGAGCATATGAGATCTCAAAGCCCGCCTCAGCAGTGACACACTTCCTCCAACAAGACCACACCCACTCCAACAAGGCCACACCTCCTAATAGAGTCACTCCCTTTGGGACAATTTTCTTTCAAATCACCTCATAGGTCAACACTAACTCCTTGCTGATGGAAGTGTGATTGTAATTGTCACACTTGTCTCCTGACAGCCTCTCTGGGGCAGAGGTGGGGGGGAGTTCCCCTCTAAAATAAGCTGAAAACAATCAGCTTCAACTGGTGGTTCCAGCAACCCCAAGTCCTTTTTTTAAATATAATTTTTAATGATTCTTTGGGAATTTCACATCATACACCCCATTTCCACTCACCTCCCAGTCCCCCCACATTTCCCTCACTTCTGCAGTCTCTCCCCAAAAGAAAATTTAAAAAGAAATCAAAACGAAGCAAACAAACAAAAACAAGAACATAACAAACAACTTTTAGCTTCTCCTCTACCACCTTTCCAACACCTCTTCTTTGTTCTGGTGGTATTGGGGGCAGTGTGTGACCTGTTACGCCCAAATCTGCAAAGTCCCCACAAAAGTCAACAAGGAGATTGAGTATGTAAAAGCAAAAGAGCCTTTATTTTATGCAAGTTTGCAAACTCGGCCTCTCCGCATGTCCAACGTATTGGAATAAATGGAGAGTCCCAAGCTCAGTTAGAGTTGGGTTTTTATAGTGGTAAAAGTTAGGGTGAGCCCCTGATTGGCTGACACTTGTCTAGGTGTGTCCTGGTGAGTGTGTTCTAGCAGATGGTCCTATCTGCAGTGGCTGGAATGTCAGGCATTTCCTTTAGATGGTCTGCTTTTGGGTGGTGCTCAAGCAATCTCAGCTTGCCGTTCTTCCTGCTGTCAGGTATTGCTTCAGGGTAAACTACTGAGACCCAGGCCTCCATTTAAATTTCTCGATGGCTGGGTCCTACTCTGGCAAGTGATGATGGTTGGAAGTAAAGAACTTCCTTTGGGTGATCTGTCCATATTTAGCTTATTGTAGCTTCTCCTTCATCACCTAGGTTACCTTTTATCCAATCAGCTCTACCAGCAAATGTACATCACAACGAGTCAATGGTCTGGTTGAAGGCCTCTGGTTTCTGGTATCATCATCCCTGGATCCTCATCAGAATTCCTCTGGGATATCCCACGGCCTCCTAAGTCATGGAGATCCTGTGAGTACTGGTCTAACTGGACCAGCCTCTTCGCCGGCCTCAGCTGGTCCTAGGTGGGGTAGATGTTAGAGTGGGACAAGACCCAGCTGTGGACTGGGTAGGAGCTGAGCTAGTTAGTCCAGGCCGCTGGCCAGCCCACTTCAGGAGAGGGGGTGGAACCAGCTCTCCTATACCCACACCAGCAGGGTCAGTTCTCCCTCACCTGAGGTGAGGAATAAATGTTTTCTTTCTCTTTTGTTTTGTTCTGTTTCTCGGAGGTCCTGGCTATCGGGGAACTCACATTATTCCAGGCTGGCCACCAACACAAAGATCCTCTTACCTGTCTCCTGAGCACTAGGACTAAAGGCCTGCACCATCACTACCCAGCACAACCTAAGCTCCTAAGTAAAAGTTCTTTGATGGTCAGACGACATTTGGATAAGAAGCAATTACTTACTTGTCAGTTCAATTAAGAGAGTACAGGCAGGAGCTGGAGAGATGGCTCAGAGGTTGAGGAAGCTTGTTCTTGAAGAAGACCCCGTGATGATGGCTCATAACCATTGGTAACTCCAGTTCTTGGGGATCCCAATCCTTCTGACCTCTGAAGACACCAGGGCCATAGGTGGTGCATATACATACATGAAGGCAGAACCCTCATTCTCATAAAAATATTTAAACCTTAATTTAAAAAACCAAAAAGAGAGAACCAGACAGCACCTTTGTCCACCATTTATAGCAGCTCATGAGCTATAAGGTACTGATGTTACAGTAGCACAGAATATTCTATAATAAAGAAGAGTCAGGTCATGGG